TAAACCAACAGTTGAGAGACCACTATAACCCATAGAGCAACTGTTACTGGTCTTAGCAGTACACTGCCACAAACACAATATCCTGTTTAATAACGCGTAGGCCACCTTTTCTCTAACGGGAAAGGAACACTTTTAGCTTGAAAAGGCGGAAGGAGCACGAAATCATGACAAGCAGGAAAATTCAAGCACTTCACCTTCGATTTAGAGGTGACTTTTGAGTCAACTGAAAAGTCACCTAAGATTCAAGCACTTCACCTTCGTTTTGGTTTCGCAGCGCACGTCCAGCTGCTGCACGCGGAGCGACAATTTTCCCGCCAGCCAAGTCCCAGCGAGGGGATTGAAGCAGTGCATCCCGGGATCTGCCACGTGGGAGAATCTCCCCCATCTCTCGAATATTCCCACCTGCCAACATCCACACACGGAAAATAATTAATCACAATAAAAGATAATGAAATATTAATTACAACGATTCGTTTCCAACGCTTATCGATAATGAGATACATCAGAGCAAGGATGGTTGAGCAGGAGCTGACCTGCGACTGCGGGATGCAAGCGACGAAGCAACACGACGATGGAAGCTCAGGGCTACTGCTGTCCGCCATGGAAGTTGACGGGCGGAGGAGCGGAGACGAAAGCGGAGGGGGATCTTGCAAGAAATTGGTCAGCAAGACTCGAAATATGTCAGCGCAGGAAACCATATGTCACGTACTACTAGCGGAAATAGAAGCAAAATGAGACGTGGGGGGCAATGAGACGTGGGAGACTGGCTAAGAGACAGCCCCTTTTTATTTGTGATGCGAAGGCGACAGTCACTACTACCAGGTAAGAACCATGCAAGCTTCTGAGATTCACGACAGGAGCAGCTCCCGAGTCGCCTCCCAAAGCGCACTGACGCGATGGGAGTGCCCATGCCTGGCGCTCTGCGATGGCTACGTGGAGTCTCGGGGACGCAAGCTAGAGTCATGGAGACGCAACTAGGGTCTTTCGACGCAAAGCAGCCAAGGGAAGTGAAATAGCCAAGATCCTGTACGCAACGCCAGCGTGCTGCCTTGGGTCCGAGAAGGGCCTTGTTTGGTTGGCTCCCCGATTCGACAAGGCCCCTGCTGGCTTGGCTCTCTCTGGTCGGACCACAGCAACTACTAAATGGTAATGAGGATTTTTTTCGAAATCTCTGAAAGGCAGACCCAAACGTCAGGGAATTGCCCCGCGGGTGACGGTCCGGAAAAGTAGCCGCCGGCGAGGCCTCTTCTGACCCAGGTGACAAAGGGTGCACCTTTTTTATGTGAAAGAGAAAATGAGACTCGCGTACAGGGTGTAGTGCGATGTACTTTGTAGCAGTGTACCATATGTTTTGTTGTGTGTTTCGTTTTCCCATTTCAAAAATTTATCAGCATTCTGCTTCTCCTTCGAACATTAAAGATATCGTACAAAAGAAGCGGTGTAATGTGAATGCGTAAATTGTGACCTTGTTCCGAGCTCGCAGTATGGAAAGTGCCGTGTTCAAATCTCAGATACCTAATTTCTGACACCTGAATTCTGTGACCAGATTTGTCTCTAGGCGACGTTTCGGCAGTCATAACCGCGCGAGGTATTCGTTACGTAATTCCCCTCACCTTCGATCACATTCGTCGACATCGCCTGGATCAAAATCCGACGGTTGCCGATTAAACCAAGCTTGATCAGTCCCGAAGCTTTCCGTCTTGAACTCATCTACCAAAATCAGACGCGGCTGGTTAGCAACGCCGGCGCGATGGCGACAGCGGGCACGCAGATCATCGAGTCGGGTCACGCCGACGCGATTCACGACGTGCAGATGGACTACTACGGCAAGCGACTGGCGACGGCGTCGTCCGATCGCTCGATTCGCGTCTTCTCCGTCGCAGGCGACCACCACTCGCATCTTGCGGATCTGATTGGTCAGTTTTCAAAAGCGCCTCGTGAATAGCCAGATCGGATTCGTCGCTTTTCCGTCGGCGTGCATTTACATCATATCTTTCACATTTGGCGTCATTCCTCCCGCATATTTTACTGTCGTAGCCTTTACCACGTTACGCTTCCATTCTCAATTCGATTGCTTCGCACGCGTTTCCGATTCGAAATTGTCGTTAATTGGCGTTCGAAACCGTGGTTGCTTCGGAACCATGTTCAACTTTAGCGTCCCCATTGGTTCCGTCTCCCCGCAGGTCACGAGGGTTAGGTTTGGAAGGTGGCGTGGGCTCACGCTGAATTCGGATTTTGAGGCGCCTCAAAATACGCTCCTATTGGTTCCGTTTGACATTCCGTCTCCCCGCAGGTCACGAGGGTCCGGTTTGGCAGGTGACCTGGGCCCACCCTAAATTCGGGTCCATCCTCGCATCGTGCTCGTACGACCGCAAAGTGATCATCTGGAAAGAAACCAGCGAGAACCAGTGGATCAAGGTGCGTTGGTGAATCAAGGTGCGTTAGTGATTGGACGTCTGTGAGTGAATGATGGTGCGAATGTGGATTAAATGCGACCTCATGGGTGGAAATCCACGTGAAACAAGTAGATTTTTGTGACGTTTCAAAAATCTACTTGTTTCACGTGGCTATTCAATTTCTGGTTCCTGTGGATGGAGGTCTGTGAGTGAATGATGTTGCGTCTGTGGATTAGAAGCGATTCCATGGGTGGAAATTAGTGGCTGTGAGAAAAATGACGACATATGTTGTGGGAGTGGATAAGGATGAAACTGTGACAGTTCCCCCTAAACCACTGAATAATTATAAGCTATAAAAGAGCGATTCAGGAACCAGTGGGAAATCGTGAAACCCACTAATGAGAGACCCTCTTTAGTTGTGGTCCCATTGTGGGCTGGTGCTCGCATGCGACTCCTCTGATGGCTCCATCTCCATCCTGCGCCAACAGCAGCTGGAGTGCCTTCCCCCCGCATCCGCCAATCCATCTTCTCCTCACCCTAATCCTTCCTTCCTGCTTTCTCCCGCACTCTTTCAACACTCCAGGCGCAGGTGTTTTCAGACCACGAGGGCTCGGTGAACAGCATCAGCTGGGCGCCTCACGAGTACGGGCTGGTGCTCGCATGTGCCTCCTCTGATGGCTCCATCTCCATCCTCACCCACCGATCTGACGGTGGCTGGGATGTTTCTCGGATCCCGCAAGCCCACCCTGTTGGGGTTACCTCCGTTTCCTGGGCTCCTGCCACGGTTCCAGGAAGCTTCCTGGGGTCTGGTCCGAATCCGGTGCTGCGGTTTGTGTCGGGCGGGTGTGATAATATGGTGAAGATTTGGCGGTATTCAAGCGAGGGAGGGGGAGGGTGGCGGCTGGACGGTGCGCCGCCTGGTTTGGCCCGGCACACGGATTGGGTTCGGGATGTGGCTTGGGCGCCGAACCTGGGCCTGCCGAAGAGTACAATTGCCAGTGCTTCACAGGTGGGTCTGACTTGGGACACACATACCTTACGAATTCTGTTAAATTCACTTCCCTCAGATTGTTTCTTGAGTGGGTGTTTTGATGATTCCTTACACTACATTTTATGTGACCGAGCCCCAGGTGATCAGCCTTTTACTATGTTTTCTCCTTATATCTTTTATAACTACAGGATGGCACTGTACTGATCTGGACCCAGACGAGCGAGTCGGACCCGTGGAAACCCCTGCTGCTGCAGGACTTCAAGGTGCCTGTTTGGAGGGTCAGCTGGTCGCTCACAGGAAACATCTTAGCTGTATCTGATGCGAATAACAATGTGTCGCTCTGGAAGGAGGCTGCAGACGGGCAATGGTCCCAAGTCTCCACTATCCAACAACCATAGATAGGTTAGTCATATGGGTATGCCGCTAGTTTTAGTACCGTATCAAATGCTGAGTTGATTAAAGTCATATGGAATAACAACAACATTGCATTGAAGGTGAAAGCGATCGCATTGTTGCAGCTTATTGCATTGACAGATTGACCTTCTAGGGGTTAACTTCAGCCGATTGAGCCACATTTGCTTATGTCAGTCACCCTCACTGTCTGCCTCCTAAGCCTATAATCAGTATGTAGAATATATATATAACATCTGTGAATCTGTGTCAGTTTCTTGGGTCCTGAAAAGGGTGTAGAGAACTTTCCACTTAAATTTGACAAAAGACTCACTCAAGCTTTGGTTTTGATTGAACATGGGAGTGCGAGTCACGTGGAACAAAATCCAACCCAAACCGACTGAAGCCTCTACTGTCCAGTCGCAAACTTGTCTTTTTCGCGTGAGTTGGGCGGTCCCGCCAACAGAGGCCCCACCTGAAGAATGCACAGAAGGGCAAAAGACCATTTGTTCGTTCCGTATTGACAAAGCTGGTATGGCTGGCAAGAACTGTTCAGGTGTTTCCTCCTCAACATACGGACGCAAATTCGATATAACCTTGAGAAAGGACAGATGTAGTTCCCGTCTGTGACCCAGCTGTACGTCCCTCGTTTCCCCCTGCCTCCCACCCCAGCGGAAACGTTCCTTTGTTCCCCCTGACCCATATCCTGACAACACCACAAACAGCGGGCAGCGGGCAGCTTGAAGCGGTCCTCTAGAGAAAAACGGAGCAGTTTCAATTGAACAACATCACCTGAATGTTTCCGAGTCGAACCCAACCCAACCCTCGTCAACCCGCCAGGAACCAATTTGCCACCCTTCGCTTCCACCTCGAACAAAGACCCTCCCTCCTCATCTAGCGAGGGGTGTACTCTCCTCTCCGTCTGGCCCATCATCCCTCTTGCACCTGTGATTTGGTCCTCGTGTGTTTTGGTTGGCTTCTCTCCACGACGAGTTTCCTAGCTGAATGAGTTGGTGCTTCCTAGAGCATTTCCGCCTAACCCGCAAGTGCGCGTTAGTTCTTTCCGTGCACTACGACAGGGGCGCAAGGAGATTTCATAGAACATCCTGATAGGTACCAGTGATTTTATAAGACGTAGTGGGCTCAAGTAGCTAGCAGGCACCCGTCTTAAGGCTAGGTGCAAACCGCTCAGGAGTTGTCTTTCTTTTGGTTATTCTGTCATGATGTTCGACAATGGGGAATCCGTGTGGTCGTTCATTACAATCATAGTGTGTATAGCGTTCACTGTACTCGCCTTCCTCTGGATGCACTTCTGCTACTTCCCGGGCGGCTACAAACGGAGCGAGGTCATGGACATGGGCGAGTACGCAATGATAGTTGCCGCGCAACGGCTAAACAAGCTCGAAGATAAATCCAAGGAGGAATATCCAGAAGACGCGGACGAGTTGTACTACGAGCGGAATCCCGAGGATGGCGGCGAGGATCACGGCGAGGAAGGCGGAGACTGGCAGAGCCAGGCGGACCCCGATGTGGAGCAGCCTGGAGAATATTACGAGGAGGAGGAGACCCCGCGATACGACGTAAGCTTACGGACTCGGGAAATATCAGACATTGCTTTACGCGATTCGAGCAGCTAGCTGTAGATGCGTCGGTCAGGACCCGTCCGGAAAGTCAGATTTCAGCGTAGTGGAATATCTAAGGATGAGCTGATGAGGTGTGGAAATCCTTAGTCGCGTTGCGTGTGTTGTTCCAGCGGAACTTAGCACGCATGACGTTCAGTCGAGTCGAGTCGTGCAGGGAGTCAGGCCTAACTGAGTCGAGAGTTTCGAGGCGACAACACCAGGGGCCCTCATGTGTTGAGGATAAGTTGATTCGTGTCGATTGTTTTTTTCAGTAGCAGAGCGTGAGTCAGTAGTGTTTTCTGAGCAGGGACAGTTGTCGCGTTATTATTTTCTAGGTTGCTTAGAGTGCGTTTTCTCCCTCTTGCCGCGTACTCTACACCTGTTCCTATCCTCTTCTTTGTCTCACCTTCTCTTTATTCTCTCCTCTTCTCACATTGGCTCCTTTTCGCAGCCATCGGTAACCACCCCCTCATCGCAACCATCAGCCGGGGATCGCGACACCTCCAGCTACAGGGACGACCGCAGCGATTCAACATACACCGCCTCGACGCCGCACTCCTCTGGCTACTATTATTGAGCTGCCCGCCCAGCTGCCCGGCCCTGGCCGGGAACAGAAACAGTTCCCAGCTGTTAACGTGCTGCCCGGCCCTGGCTCCACTTTCGCCTGACTCTTCGCTACCATAACGACGAAGTTGTGCCGCCTTCGTTAGCTTATAGGCACATATTCAAGCTTGATCGGGACTTCGTCACTGGAAGGTAACTGTCCTCGCTACAACGAGTTCCGAGGCTCGACAATGCACCAGAGCAGAGCAATCAAGGAATCTGGACAAAGATTTCCGTTCTTGGTATCCCTTGCTAGCAGTGGTTCTCCCTGTTGTATAATGAGGCAACTCTTCTTTCATTCGTTTTGTTCTGCAATATATGGTAATGGGGTGAGAACCCACGCGAATCATCTAATTACACATAAATAGGAAGAGAATTCGTGTATGGAGTGGTTGCAAACATTAGATCATCAGTGATTGATGTTGTGTTGGGCTAGGTACTTGCTACCAACCTGTAAGGAAAATTCCTTTTCCTTACTTAGCATCCCTGCTCAATGCGTACATCACTGTAGCACCACAGTCAGCACCGTTACCACTCGCAACCCTCGCATCGACAATCCGCCCTCCACCTTCGCACATCGCACCCCGACCTCACGGCTCGGCGGGTAACCCGCGCTCCGGGCCTCCGCTTCGACACTTTTTCCCAACCTCAGTCCCAGGCCCGTCGCGCGACAACCACAGTCCATTACCGTTACCACTGTAGTTTCGCTATATATTCTTCGCTCATGCCTTCGCTCATTGTACTCTTGCTTCGATAGTGCAATTCTCGTTCGTTCACTCAATTGCACTCGTAACACTTGGTATTCAGAGCCTACGATCTCCTCTCGGACCGCACCCACACCTTCGCTTCCCCACTATCTCAATTTTTTGGGGGGTAGGCGTCTCTCAGCGACACAGCACCGCCGCTCGTAATGCTCTCTCGTAAGCACGCACGGCCACGACCGAGGCTCTCGCTGAGCTCGCCCGACACTCCCGCCATGGCTGAATTCACGCTCGCCACATTGACGCAGGAGCAACTCGACCGTCTGGTGCGCCAACTCGAAGATTCGCGCTCGAAATTGCGACGCTCACGGCGGAACGTGACTCCGCGCGTCAGCAATCAACGATGAACACTCCAGCGCCACCACACGCATCGACAAATGAATCTGCACAATCAGACGAGCCGGTCGTCATCTCGTCCGGCACACCAACACAAAACAACAGCACAGGACAGCGCTCAGGCGCAGCCAGCGATGGCGCCGCCCAGCCGATGCCTGGCATGGGAGGAAACAGGGTCCCACCAAGCCCGCGGGAGCCTCGCGAAGCCCGTCGGCACGTGGAGTTCGCGGCGACAAGTGGCGAGCAGGCCATTATGGCACCAATGCCACTCAAGCCGCAACGCCCGCCCTGCTTCGACCCGAGCCAGCGTGGAGGTCCGACGGTTCAATCGTGGGTCTTCACGATGAACGTCTTCTTCGACGCGAATTACGTCGAGTCGGACGCAACGAAGATTCGGTATGCCGTTTCAGTGCTAAGGGGCCCCGCCATGGACTGGTGGCGAGTCATCGTGACGTCGCCACGCGCCTACGAGCCACCGTCGCAAGAGGAAGGGCCCACGGGCCCAGCTGACACCTGGAGTTCATTCTGCGAGACCGCCCAATACAGCATGTGGGATGCGTGGTGCGCAGGGCTTCGGGCGCGCTTCGAGCCGATCGCGGCTTCTATTTCGGCGCGTCAGAGATTGCGCACTTGGCGGCAGCTTGGATCGGTTCAAGACCATACGAGTGGTTTTCTCGCATTATGCGAGCAAGTCGACTACATGCATGAAGCGGAGCGGGTGGACCGTTATGTCGGAGGGCTGAAGCCGGACATCTCGCACGAAATCATGCTACGCGGGCTCTCAAACTTCAACGAGATTCTTGCGCTCGCCGAGAAAATCGACATTCTACGCCGTCCGAGACCGGGGTCCTACTATGGACATCGTCCTCGGGGACCGATCGAGCACGCCACTGTACACGCTGTTGCGACGAATGCAGCTGCCGTGCCGTTTAAGGGGCACTGCTTTGCTTGCAACAGGCCGGGCCATCGCAAGAGCGAATGCCCAGAGGAGCTAAGGCGCCGCGGAGCAGAGCAGGGGAGGGAGTATCCAAAGCAGGGAAACGCCAGCAGTCAGTAGGAATCGAGCCAACTACTGACGAGACTGCCTGCTTGCCCAACCCCACCAGCCCTCACCGAGTCACAGTACCGATTCATGCTATCGATCGGACTCGGACGAATAAGGAGGGTACACCAACGGATTGCCCAGTATTGATCCACGGGAAAATACAGGGAGCAGTAGTGAAGATTTTTATCAACGGAGGAGCAAGGCACAGTTTAGTTAATACCGCAACCGCACGAAAACTGCAGCTGACACTTTGCCGTTGCTTACCGGAGATAGACACACGCTTAGTCGACGGCACGCCATTGGCCATACGGGAAAAAGTAGAGAGAGTCAAAGTCCGCTGCGGGGGAAATTTCGGGTTTACACAGGAAATGCTCGCAACGACGCTGGATGGGCACGATATTTTACTAGGGACGTGATTGGCTGCGACGGTATAACCCACGAATTGACTGGACAACGGGTAGCTGCACCGTGCGAAGTAGTGGTAACTGGGTCGAGCTACCTCGTTGGTAGTCGCCCGAGTCTTCAACGGTACACGTCAACGCCATCACAATGAAACGGGCTGTCACTGCTGGAGCTGGCGTGTACCCAGTAGACATCGCGGTAATAGAGGAAGCAGAGCAGCCGAGTGATTTCAAGAAACTGCTGGCAGCCGTACCGCCCGAATTACAGGAACTGTTGAAACGATACCCCGGGATTTTCCCTGACGACTTACCGGAAGGACTGCCACCTCAGCGAGCACATGACCACCGAATCGAATTAGAAGCGGGGGCACAGCCAACCGTACAGCGCCAGTTCAGATTGACACAGCCCGAGCTCGACGAACTAAGGAAGCAGTTAGACTACCTGTTAGAGAAAAAAATCATCAGACCGAGCTCGTCACCGTTCGCCGCACCGATACTATTCACGCCGAAAAAAGACGGGGGTTTTCGCATGTGTATCGACTACAGAGCACTGAACAGGGTAACATTCAAGTCGCGGTACCCCATTCCCCGTGCCGACGAACTGATCGACCAACTGCGAACAGCACGGGTTTTTTTCGAAAATAGATTTACGGGAAGGTTACCATCAGATTAGGGTCGAACCATCGGACTGCGCCAAAACAACTTTCAGGACTAGGTACGGGTCGTTCGAGTACACTGTGATGCCATTCGGGCTGACCAACGCACCAGCGACTTTTCAGATGACCATGAACGAGGCATTTAGGCCGCTCTTAGATAAATGCGTAATAGTTTACCTCGACGACATTCTAGTGTACAGTCGGGATAAGCAGCAGCACTTAGCAGATCTGGAAGCAGTGTTAAAGGTTTTAGACGAGCACAGATTACTGACCAAGGGTTCCAAGTGCGAGTTCTTCTAGGATAGGTTAGAATTTTTGGGGCACGTTATTTCGGAGGCTGGAGTTGAAATCGACCCAAAGAAGGTGGATACGGTAAAAGCGTGGCATCCCCCGACGAACATCACGGAGCTGCAGAGCTTTTTAGGGTTTGTTAATTATGTGCGTCGGTTCGTCCCCGATATGGCACGGTTAACTGCCCCACTGACGGATTTACTGCGGAAGGGGGTCGCTTTTACTTGGGGGGAGAAAGAGCATGCTGCCTTCTCTGCCCTGAAAAATGTTCTCTGTTCACCGCCCGTCCTGCGCATCGCCGACCTACACCGCCCATTCGAAGTAGTTACCGACGCAAGCGATATCGCGATCGGAGCCGTACTGCTACAGGATTTCGGCAATGGCCTACAGCCTATCGCATATGAGTCACGAAAACTGCATCCGCCCGAGAAAAATTATCCGATCCACGACCGCGAAATGCTTACGATCGTGCACGCGTTCAAAGTATGGCGCTGTTACTTGACTGGCGCGGACGTGACAGTACGGACAGACCATAAATCACTACAGTACCTTCGCGCACAGCCATACCTCAACCCACGACAAATTCGCTGGCTCGATTTCGTCGAGTCCAACTTTCACTACACGGTCACTCACAAGAAGGGAGCCTCGAACATCGCCGACGCACTGACCCGCCCCACTGCCCAGATCCACGCAATACTACTCGCCCAGACAAGCCCGCTACTGACAGGCCTATTCACCCACGGGTACCAAACAGATCCATTCTTCACAGGAGGAAATTCGCAGCAGTTCGCAGCAGCAAAGGGAGTGTATTACGTAAAAACCAGGACTGACCGCATTTGGGTGCTTGGGTATACATTGCTACGGGAATTACTGTTACAGGAGGCACACGACGGAATTACCTCGGGGCATTTCGAAGTAGAAAAAACACGGCAGCAGCTGCAGCGTTATTATTACTGGCCCGAAATGTTGACCGACGTACAACGACACGTGGCATCGTGTCCCACTTGTCAGCTCATGAAATCATCACGACAGCGGCCGGCGGGACAGTTGCAGCCGATACCACCCCCAGAGCGTGCTTGGCAGCAGGTGACGATGAACTTCGTCACGGGGTTACCAGCCGGGGCGAGTGGGAACGACGCGATCCTGGTCGTCGTCGATCGACTAACAAAAATGGCACATTTCGCAGCCTGCAAAAAATCAATCACAGCCGAAGAAACAACACGCCTCTTCATCTCCACCGTCGTTCGACTGCACGGGATACCAACCGCGATCATCAGCGACCGCGACACGAAATTAACTTGCAACTTCTGGCGGAACCTGTGGCAGCAGTTCGGCACGTGACTACAGTTCAGTTCATCATACCACCCCGAAACCGACGGACAGACAGAACGGACAAATCAGACCATGGAACAGCTCATCAGGGCCACGTGTGACGACCCGACCACGTGGGAACAACAACTCCCACTAATCGAATTCGCGTACAA